CCCACCAGGGGTGGCAAGAGAGGTCTCTATGTCCCAACCCCCTCTGGCAATGACAGGTGCCAAGCTCATCCCGCAGAGCCTTGGGCATCCCTGCCTCAGCCTGATAAGAGCTAATGGTATCTGCATTTTATAATTGAGGTTTGGAGAAGGGCAGCAAACATGCCCACAAATGCTAGCCGGTAAGGGACACAGCCAGGGTTCAAGCCCAGGTCTGGCCACCCCTGTGACCACTCCCCCCATCTGTTCCACACACTTTCTCTGACCCTCTCTGCTATAGAGAGCTTTCCTGCGAGCTCATATTCTACCAACCTAACTGGTGACAAGAGATGCAGAAAGGACAAACAATAGAAGAGAGACCTGCAGAAAGTTGGGGTCAGGTGTGTTGGGCACTCGGATGGAGATGCCCAACAGCCTCGTTGCTTCTTTACTTCTTTTACTCTGCTTCTTTTCTCTATCTTTAAAACCTTACTTCTAAAGTCTTTCTTCTTTTCTGTGTTCTTTAAAGTCTCTTTCCTTAGACTCGCACTGTCCCGTTTTCTTTACTCTCTTTAAAGTCTTGGCCCTCAGACTTGCATGGGAGAGAACTTGTCGCATGTTCTCTCTTAAAGTCTCGGCGCTCAGACTTGCACTGTCCCATGTTTCCTCTAATCTCTAGCATAACTCAGCCGCAGCAGCCAATCAACAATCCTCCATCCGCCCAATCCCCCATCAAAAAACCCTCCATCAATCCCATGTCCTCCTTCAGTGAGTCTTTTCTATTCAGTGGTAAACAAGGAGGTGGAACAACAGTTCGAGGAGAGGGCGTGACATTGTAACGAGAAAACCTGCTCTCTACTTCTCTGAACTTAAACGTAGGAAAAGCAGCTGTGCTGCATTTGCACTTTACTCTCTTCTGCGGCTAGGGTCGTGCCAAACTCAGCCTGTAGATCATTGAGCACAACTGTGCTTATGTCAAGTTCTCATAGGCTTCTCACAACCTGCTCCCTACACTCGACCAGGGCCACGCTACAAGCACCTGGGCTGTTTTCCGCGCCTCCGCCTCGGTGCTTACGTGACATTCTATCCACTTGCTTACTGACTTATCTAGGTCTGTCTCTGAGACCCCCCACCCCAACTAGACTATCAGCTTCAAGAGGGCGAGGTGTGGGTCCCCAGCTCCTAGAGCAGAGCTGACTCTCAATAGATGGAGGTAACACATAAGAACCATCGTGAAAGCTGTGTCTTACTGTATCCCTGGTCAGTGAGAAGCTTGTGGGCCTCAGATTTATCAACGATCCCCCGCAGCCAGCATAGCAAGGTCAGGGCCAAACCAGTGACCTGACCATACTTGCCGTCTCCCACATCCCAAGGCCACAGAACTGAACAGGAAATCCCCAAGATCGGGAGAGGGACTGGCCAGCAAGGGTGGGTCAGCACAGCATTCAGGGTTCTGAAGGGAGAGGCTTTACTCGGTCCAGCTGCCCCACTCCACAGAACAAGGCTGGCCAGGCCAAGAGGCAACATGGACCCGAGGGAGGTTCCGGCCTGAGATGTGATGAAAGGGCTAGCACAGGGGTTTATCATTAAGACAAGGCCTTTGTGACAAAGCTGGTCCTGCTCCTTTTAAAGAGCCACAAGCTGGAATCAGGAGTCCAGACTCTGGTCTGGCAAACCACAGAGCCTCGGTTTCAGCAAGTGACCTTTCTGTTGGCGCTAATTAAGGAGGACCTGCAGTGATGCCAAGCGTGAAGCCCAGCCAGGGAGGAGGGAGGAGGCAGGGCCCTGGGCCTGTGGCTTCCAGTAAAAGGCGGGTGTTTTGGCTGCAATAGGTTTGGAACCCTTGTTCTATTGTAAATCCTAATAAGCGGATTCTTACAGCACTTGTTCTTCAAGTTTCCCCAAACGTGGGAACTTGTTCCAGCTTTGTCAACTGCAGCAGGATTAGGAACAGTTTCTTTACAGGAATAGCCCTCGGCTCTTCTTCCACTCAAGAACTGCTTGTACTGCAAAGTCGGCCATCCCTCTGCACGGGCCATGCTGAGCAGTCCCAGCAGCTGCCCCAGCAGCTGGACACATAGGCTTCTTTGGTACTGAGCATTAAACTCAAAGATTTGAGTTTCGTTTCAAAATCACTAAGTGTTAGTAAAACCCTTTGGGTCTGGACAGACTTCTCCACCTACTCTTCCAGCAGGGATCACTACCAGCACGCTGGGCCACCCTTGCTGTCTGGGCCACAGCAGAGCAGAGCTGGGCCTGCCCCTGTGCCAAACTGCTACAGTTAACATTGTGTCAGCATTTCCATTATAAAATGCCTCCCTCCCGTCTTTCAAGACTATATAATTCAACTGTTACACTGCCTTCAAAGCTACAGACAAGCAGACACAGTGTTTTTCTTTCCTTCTGGAGAGGGGGTGTGTGTGGCCAGGTCTCCCCAGGACTTCCACTAGGGTAGGTCAGGGCAGTCCTGCCGACCACCAGCTTTGGTGGCTCCAGGCCACTTTATGCAGTGCAGGGCCGTGCCCAGAGAGCTGTTCACCTCAGCAATAGCTACTCGGGGACAGAAAGCCCTAGAAACCTATGGTGTCAAGGCTTGCAAACAACAAACCCAGTGTTCCACAGGGGAAAAGGAAACTTTCAAATGCGCCCACTGAGCAAGCTGTCAAAACACCTGGACATGACCCAGCACCCAACAAGAGAAGGGGATAGGGAGGTATCTCCAGTCACACAGCTCACACCAAAACGCAATGCAATGTGTTAGCCCAGTTCTAGAAATCCTTAGTAACACGTTTTAATATACAAGAATTAAAAGTACAGCAGTTTTACAATGTAGGAAAATTTAATACATACTATATAAACATTATTTACATCAGAAATCACTAGGACAGTGGCATTTTTCACAAATATAAATTAATTACTGTTTAGTCAACAGGTTTTAAAAGTCCACAATTTTACAATAAAGAAAAACCACCTGTCCCCAAACGGGTAGGGCACAGATGGACTAAAGCAGCCTGGCCCCTGACCTGGCTCTCCTCACCCAGCGCTGACCACTGGGTCTGGCATGGGCCACCGCTCCTGCTGACAAGTGGATTTGGTCTATAGGATTTCAGTGACATTGTGTGAACTCCTAAGTGAATTGCCTTTGCACCGTGAGGCCTGATGTGGCTCTCAGGCCAGACCGTCTGCAGCATGGCATGAGCGTGCTCAGGTTTCCCTGTGAAGGGCTTAAGGAATGACTACACAGAGTGAGCCACCAGATCTGGCTCCCCAGGGCCTGGCTGTCCCCATCCAGCCAGACTCTGAAAGGCCACAGTGATCAGCGGGGGGTTTCACCTTGTCCTAGGGCTACAGGGTGTCGTGTTGATCCTTGTTTACTTCAGGCTTGGGTGATGCTAACTCCCTCTGTCCTCAACCCCTGCTACTCCACCAACAATGAAACCGTTCAAAGCTGAGCTCGATGCACTGCCGTCCTCAGATCCCCGGACAGTCTCCCCACCCACACACAAGAGTTCCACCTGTGCAAACTTCTGGTTTGAATGAAGCATATGATACTCACGCTGATTTATGTTAATGAGGAAACGCTTCCTTTCTCCCAACCCACTATTCAATAACTTCAACACCTAAAACGGATGTTAACTGGGGATACTGTAATTTTACAATCAACGTAACACTGATCGGGCTGATACTGCCTTTTGCTACATCATATGACACTAGAAGTCCTCAATGTGAACAAAAGGAAGTTCCTTTTTCCTCATGATGAGACATCCTTGGGAATAACTCCTATCTCCTACCAACAACTTGAGAGAAAAACCTTGGTGAGTATGGAAACGCAGGACCTCTCATGGGGCCTCAGACCCTCCAACTTCCCTGAGGTCATTCCCTTCCCACCCCCACCTCCAAGCATCAAGGGTCCAGCAAGCAAACGTAGCCTTCCTCTTTGGTGTGGGCAAGACAAACACACAGAATTGTCAGCAAGCAGCTCCATCAGCAGCTTTCCTTTGCATCGTGTGGCCAAAGCAGAGGGGCAACTTCCTGCCTTCTCTGAGCAGTCAGGGCACAGCAGGCCTCTGAGGAGGACTGACTCAGGTGGTTCCCACAGTCAGTAGGCTCTGCTGCAGGCCAGGGCAAACACCCCCAAGATAAGAAGGTCCGCTCAACTCCCTACACAGCTTCAGGGATGCAGACTCATTTTGGAAGCTCAGCCCCAGCCAGTTCCACGGTGCACTGTATGGAAGCCATGGCCCACCACAGCCATGTGTTAACACTCGAGATGCAACTCAGGCATGTCCTGGTAAACGCACTGAATGGTGCCAGCCAGGATGAGTTTTCCCCTGCCTGTGGTCCACTACAAGAGTTCTCATCGACTCTGAGCTTGACACTTCAGAGGTATAATACCATCCCATATATTTAAGTCAGATTTTCTGTCTCTATCTAGAAAGGCTTTGGATACTCTCCAATACTGGCAGGCTATACTGAACATGAACAAAACCAAAGGCCCCCAACCGCAGTGCCCTGAAGGAAGCCTGCTTAATAATGGGCCAACCTGCTCCCCAGTCCTGCCTCACTTGACTCCAGTGTGACTCTTACTGTGCCCTGGCACTGGATGCTTATTTCGGTGGGGGGGGGGGGAGTAAACTTAGGTTCATACTTTATAGATCTTATTCTAAAAGAAACTAAGTCCACTTTCAACCATCCCCAGCTAGCAGTGGAAACATGACAACCCATTTTCATTTGACCAGCCCACGAATGTCAGGTGTGTGACTCTATCTACCTCTTTCAACTATGCAAAGGGAAGTAAACTGCAGCTGCAAGTGTTCCCCTACTCCAATACTGAAAGCCCCCCAGAAAACCCACTGCCTGCCTGCATAAGCACCCCTACCTCTGTGCTCATGAGCAACTGGCCATCTCCAGACATCTCTACTGCCCCCTTCAGGACCTGTGACTTCCCTTCTCCCCATAGGAATCTGCCAGCGATTCCTGGCCACACTACCCCCCTCCCTACACCCATCCCAGACCCACTCCCCAGTCAAGTAAGACCCACACTTGATGTCAATGTTACCTAAGTCACAGTAACTCGAAAGTCAGCCAAAGGGACTCTGTTTTCCCTGGCACCAATGGAAAAGGGGCCTACCCAGGAGACCAAACCTTTGAAATGTACAAAGACTGTGGGAATAATCAGTGTCCACAGGGAGGACACCAGGGTGGAAGTTGTTTCCCTCTCTTTATCCCCTCCCCACTCCCACCCTGTAGGTTACACATAATGAAACCAAGTTTGTCATTTCTCCCAAAAACACATTTGAAGGGAGCACCTGCTCCCCTCCAAGTCCTGCAATATGAGACCCCCACCCATTCACCCCTCTCCTAGTCAGCAGCATCTGTCATGTCACAGTGAGCCCAATCACACTGTCCAGTAGGTCCCAGCAGCCTTCATGCACCAATTCCTTCCCCTGACCAGTGCCTAAGGCCAGGGCAAACAGAACCTGGCAATAAAACATTCATGACTCTTAAGATTCCCAATTCCTTCACAGGGAAACAGCTCAAAGAAGCTGGTACACAAGTCACCTCTTCCTCCGAGCCCACTGTGGTGGGAGGCCAGGATCAGCTGGAATGGGATGGGTGCCAAAGTGCAGAAGAGGCCAAACTTGAGTGGTCTGGCAAACGCCTCCCACTCCTTCAAGTGCTCCTTCAGCTGGTGAGTTGATGGCAGCAGCATGTCCAGGAACACCACTCACCAGTCTAGACAACTGGCCGCTGTCGAGCCAGACCAAAACGTCTACACGCTTGATGATGTCTGCTCTCTCTCCCCACTTTCAGAGCTGTCCTTTATGTTTTCCGAACATTCCAGTTATAATCTGGGTTGTTTTTCTGTTCTAGTGATCTCTCCAAAGGAGATCTGTGATCCAGGGGTGACTTGGAATCATGAGGAGACTTCTGAGAAGGGGGTGAGCGAGGGTCTGAGACTGGAGGGTGCAGTGGGGGCAGGGGTTGTTTATACTCCCCCAGTTTGTCTGTGTGGAAAGGGCGGTAATGGTCTGAGGGTCCCTGGCCATGGTAACCCATAGGGGGTCGGTGCTCAGACATTCGTCGGAAATCCTGCTGGTGGTAATTTTGAGGCCTAAAATCATCGGATCTCCTTCGCTTGGAGTCATGATGGTGCCTGAAACAGAGACACAAGGATTAGCTGACAGATCAAAACCAGATTCCCATCACTTCTCTATCATTCCCTAGCATTTCTCACTTCCAGTGAGCTCAGGACAAATGCTTACAGTACAGGAAGCTAAAAGCAACAAGGTGATGACAGAGTCAATCACTTCACTCTTATTGATAAACACATCATAGGAAATGACCCTGGACCATCAAATCTGCAGTGACACAGGTCCACAGAACAATCACTGATGGTTTTGTAAATTCATTCTCCCCTCAGGAAAATACAACAACTATAAATACTTTCATTTTCCTTCACCAAGCTCAGGAGAAAAAGACTCAGAGAAATTATTTAAGTTATTAAAAATAGAAAAAAAACCCAAAAACCCACAACTGATCAACAGCAAGTGAAGGGTTAATAAAACTATTTTCTAAATTGACTCAATGTGAAAAGTATTGATTATTTTATCTTGGGTCTTGATAAACTTGTTATAAAAAGAGAACTTGTATACTCAACAAAAGGACAAACAACCCAAGTCAAAAACAAAGGACCTGAACAGACATTTCACCAAAAAAGATAACACAAATGGCCAATACGCCCATGAGAAAACGCTCAGCCTCAGTGATCAGTATGAAAACAAGGGAGAACCACATGAGACCATCCTAGTACACTCGAACAACGACCATTTCAAGTAAGTAACAGCAGCACTCATGGCTCAGCTAGAATCCTAGCTACCTGGAAAACAGACTGGGAGGACTGTGGCCAGAACATCCTGGCCAAATACTCGGAAAGGCCCCATGTCAACCGATAGCTGGGCACAGTGGCATGCACTCACATCCCAAGCTACAAGGGAGACTAAGATCAGGAGGTTCACGGTTCCAGGCCAGCCCAGGCAACAAAATTCTTAATGGGAAAGAGCTTGTCATCCCAGCAACATAGGAGGATTATAGTCCAGGCCCAGAAGAAAGCTCCAAAATAACCAGAACAAAAAGGGCTAGAGGGATGCCTCAAGCAGTAGAACACCTGCCTTGCAAGAGGGAAGCCCTGAGTTCAAACTCCAGTCCCACCAAAAAAAAAAATAATAATAATCCCTCCTCACCTACCACACAGCATCAGGTGCCTTTCAGTAAGACTCCTTTCCACCAGGGCCATGGCTCAAGTGATAGAGCTCCTGCCTAGGAAGGGCAAGGCCCGGACTTCAAACACCAGTACCATCAGAAAAACAAAACAAAAATCTCCTTTTTAAGCCTGGCCTGGTACAGCACTTGGAAGGCTGAAGCAGTAGGACCCTAAATATCAAGACAGCCTGGGCCACAGAGCAAGCTCAAGGCTGGCCTTTGCTACATAGCAAGACCTTGTCTCAAAAAAACAGAACAACAGACTCCTCTCCAGCACGCTAAGGACGTCTTGATGGCAGCAATGTCTGATCATGCTTGGGATCATGACTGACACACATAGCACCAGATAAGCCAAATACATTCATGTGAACGTCACCGCCTTTCCTCCTATAAACAGTGAGCTCCTAAGGAGGTCACTGCCTGGTGTCTTCTAACTTTCTGCATACCTGTCATAATAATCTCTGTGTCCCCGGTGGTCCCGGTCACTGCTGTACTGATCATATGGTCTCTTTCTGGACAAGTTGTTGGGTCGATAGCTTCCAGAACGGTGGGGATCCACATGCCGCCGGTCCCCATAGTGGTGGTCTTTGTACCAGTGCTGCTCATACTGGTGGTGCCGGTCACTGCCCCAAGATGGGTTGTTGTTGCCACCACCATAGCTGAACTTTCTTTCCCTCTGCCAATCTCCTCGGTCTGCAGGAAAAGGAAAAATGGTCTCATGACTGAGTGATAGCTGAATTTCACTTTCTCTACAGTTTATGCTGAAAGGCTGATACATGTTCCAAAAAGACATTAAATTTCCTCCTCCTTGGTTTTGTTGCTCCTAGGTATTTTCCAGTAATAAGTCCTAGTATTTTCATCCCACCACCAATTTTTCAAGCAAAAGAAAATCTCTTTCTAAAACCTTAAGAACTTCTGCTTTTCATTTTCCATGCCTGCTTACCTTCCAATCTGTGGCAGACACTTGAAATGAGGTTTCACACAAAAGTTAAAACCAAACAGTAATCTGGAGAACAGTACTGCTGAGTCTCACAGCTACTTCACACAAGTCTCAAGCTGCATCAAGTTTATCTAGCTTGCTGATATTGTAAATTGTGTCTGACTTCTGGATTCTACTATTGTTCCTTACACTATGACGAAAATTTTAAAAACTTAAATGGACCTTGTCCTCCTAAAAAGTACTTTAGACTTGGATTAGCATTTGATCTTCAGGAGAAAGTCAAACTAAAATCTGTTTAACTTCTGTAGTTTCCCTTTTCCCCCAGGGAAAAGACCCACACAGAAGTCCAGGGAAAGAGGCTGCAGTGAGGTGAACTGCAGCTCCCCAAAAAAATGCCAACCCGGAACCTCTTGAGTGTGACTATGTAAAAATAAGGTTTTGGATTTGGTGAAGGCATCTTGGATTTGGTTTGAGCCCTACATCCAATGCCCGATACCCTTTTAAAAGAAAAGCCAAGGGCGATACGGCATGCCTTATAAAGTTGCAGATGAGCAAGATGCAACTACAGGTCAAGAAAGACCAGACTGCTGTTCAACCATCAAAAAGTAAAAGAGGTCTGGAAAAGATCCTCCTACAGAGCCCCCAAAGGAACCAACCCTGTTAACACCTCAGTTTTAGACTTCTGGCCTCCCTAACTGTGAGTAAATAAACTTCTGATTTTTGGCGTGTGGTGGGGGGCGCTACTGGGGTTTGAACTTAGGGCCTCACACTTGCTAAGCAGGTACTCTACCACCTGAGCCATTCTGCCAGCCCTTTTTTGTGTTGGGTATTTTCAAGATAGGGTCTCATAAATTATTTGCTGGCATGTAACTGCGATCCTCATCTCTGCTTCCCAAGTAGCTGGGATTACAGTTGTGAATCACTGGGCCCAAATGATTTTTTTTTAATGGTACTAGAATTTGGACTCAGGACTTTATGCTTGCTAGGCAAATTCTTTACCACCACTTGAGCCATGCATCCAGCCTTACATTTCTGATGTCTTAAGTCACTCAATTTGGTACTTTATTGTATGTAATTCCAGAGGAAACTAAATGGAGTCACGGAAAATCCATCTTCTGTCTATAGCTGTCATAGCAATAGCCAGGTGTGGTGGTGAGTGTGTGTAATCCTAGCACTCGGGAGGTAGAGAAAGGGGATCACAAGTTCAAGGCCAGTATGGGCTGTGAGAACCTGTCTCAAAAAAAAAAAAAAAAAGACATGCCACCAAATAAATGTCTCTACTCATTTTGGGCCTTCTAGTATTCTTCTACAGAGCCAAAGAAAAACACCATCAAGGAAGCTCTGCAACTTAAGAACTGATAGCATCAATGTAATATACAGTGAACCAGTGGCTTAAGTTCACTGCTGGTCCAGTTGGTTCAGAAAAAAGAAGCAAAACTGAAAAATGACACAAGGAGACACCTCGACATGAAAGAGTCATTTGAATATGGCTTCAAATCTCATGGAGAGTAAGACAGACTACAGAGCTGGTAGAATAGTAATGCTGACAATTCAAGCCATGCCATGTATTTCTTGATCCCTCCATGACTAGGTTGCTGGTTAGGAAATACTGAGCTGTTAAAGAGATAGGTAAGGAATCCAAGGTTTAAATAAAAGAATGCAGCTAGCTTAATAAGCAGCTATTCAAAATATAAAATAAGTGATATCACACAAACAATACAAAATCAGGTTAATACCAAAAAGGTCAGTATAGACTGGATCTAAGAACATGGAAACATTTCCCAATCAACTGGAATAGAGGTTGGCTTTTTCTCTTCAATAAAACAGTGATCAGTAAGTTTTGATCCACTTAGATGTTTAAGACTGGATGACATGCACCTCTGCTTCCAAGTGAAGGAAGCAAGGAAGCTTGCAGGAGAATTAAAGAATTATTGCCAAGGACAGTAAGCAAGGCCAGATAAAAACTGTTTAAAGCATCGAAGAGCAGGTAAAGCAGTCAGGACTAAAAGGATTGGGATTCTGAAGAACACAACATCTCAAGAGCTGATTCCTCAAGTCCCTTCAGAGCTCTGGACCTTTCCCACACAGTGGACAGCTGAAAAGGGTAGAAACCAGCAGTACTCCAGGGTTCTCGCTAGGCCAGAGTGACACTGGAGACCTGAGGGACTTCAGCTTTCCCTAGGGCACCAGTGATCTGCAAGCGCTGGAAGCTAAAAGACTAAGCTGGAAAGACGCACTCTGCAAGCAGAGGGTACGGTGGGGAGGGGCAGTGCCCTGCTGGCTCTCAGGAGTACTTTGCAAAGCTAAGCCCAAAACAAGGTGAGCCAGAAGATGGATCAGACTGAGATAATAAGCACCTCCCACTCTGGGACCCACAGGAGGGAGAGCTGGGTCATCTCTCAGAGAAAAATAAAACTACACCAGCTACAGCTCCTACAGATTTATAACTCCGTGCCCCCATTCAGGCAAAAATAACCGAGTATGCCAAAAGACGGGATAGCACGACTGAAAGCCAAGGAAAAAACACGCAAAAGAACGTAACTCAGGACAGTGCTCTAGATAGCTATTAAAGGAGTTAGGAGACAAAACTTTTGTTAAGTAAGTACGTTTTTAAAACAGAAAAGGATGGAGAAAATAGGTGAGTTTTTTTTAAATTTGTTTTTTAAGCTTGAGAATTCTACCAGAAGAGTAGAATGTGGTACTGTGTTTTGTTTTGTTCTTTTTAAACAGAGTTTTATGCAAGCTAGCCTCAAACTCTCCATTCTCCTGCCTCTGTGGGAATATAGATGTGTGCCACCATGCCTAGATGTGGGGTGTTTTATTTTTTAACAAATGGAAATTCTAGAACTGAAGTTTAGAAAGAAATATACTTACCTTGATCTTTATGAAAAACCTGAATCTTTGTAAATTTTTTTTTTTTGCTAGTCCTGAGGTTTGAACTCAGGACACAGTACTTGCAAGGCAGGCACTCCACCACTTGAGCCCTGCCTCCAGCCCTTCTTTGCTTTATGTTGTCTTTTAGATAGGGTCTTGCTTTTTGCCGAGACTGCCCTGAGACCCTGATCCTACCACCCATTCCTCCAGCACAGCTGGGCTCACCTGGCTTATTGGTTGGTTAGATGGGACCTCACTAACTTTTTGCTGGAACTGGCCTCCAACCACAATTCTCCCAATCTGTGCCTCCCAATTTATAGGCACGAGCCATGGTGTCTAGTCTAAACTAAATCTTATACCATGCTTCTGCATACTTTTCAAGTATCAGTCCATGTATTTCCCTTATTATTTTTCAGAGTAATTTGTGTTCACTGTACCTAGTGAAGCAATAGACAATGGGTAAGTTAACTTCCTCCCATCTCTCCTCCATTCCTACCACGCTAAGGTTAATGTTAGCAACAATTGGATGGATATGTTTTCACATCCTTCTCTATGCATATTCAAATACTCAAGTGCCTATTACAGAGAACAGTTTGGAGGTTCGTGAAAAGCTAAAACATATAAGGACCATATAAACCAGCAGCTCCACTCTTACATATATACCTAAAACAACATAAATATTTATATCCATAGTAGTCTGAACAGTCAAAAAGTAGAAATAATCAAAATGTCCATCAAAGAATGAACAAATAAAATGTGGTTTTATCCACACAAGGGACTATTATCCTACCATAAGGAAGAACTAACAGCTGACACATGCTACAGTGTGGATGAGTCCTAAAAGCATCATGCTAAGTGAAAGCCAGTCATAACAGGTCATTCACTGTATGAGTCCATTTATTTATCTAGGCAGGCCTGGGGTTTGAACTCAGTGCTTTGCACTTGCAAAGCAGGCGCTCTACTGCTTGAACCATGCCTCTAGTCCTATGATTCCATTTATATGAAATCTTCAAAACAGGCTAATCCAGAGCCAGAGAACAGATTGGCAGATGTGAGGTATGGAGGTGATGGGGAAATGAGACAGTCTCTACTGCTTAGTGTATATGGGATTTCCATTTGGGGTAATAGAGAAGTTTAGGAACTAGACAGAGGTGGTGGCTGCACACACTGTGAATGTACTAAAACCTACTAAGTGACTCACTTACAAATGGCTATATTTATGCTGTGTGAATGTAACTTAAATAAATTTAAAAGACCACGCATGGGTTTTGATCGTTGCTACTACTTATTTTCCTAACTTTTTTTATATAAAAAGCCAGCTTTTTTTGTTATGTTTTGTTCTTTAAGACAGGCTCACACTATGTAGCCCACGCTGGCCTCAAAGTCCTGATTCTCCTGCAGCCATATCTGGCTCAGCTCATTGTTTTTTAGTAACTGATACTACTGGGTACAGATGCTCTGTTACTCATTGAACCATTTCCCTATTTAGTGGATATTTAAGCTATTTCCAGTTTTTGCCACTGTAAAATTGGAACAGCCTTCTCACACAGCTATGGTGGGTCACTTCTGTAGGATAGGTACCCAAAAAATGGACTACTGTTATTAAAGGGCCGGTGTATTTACATATTTCACTTATGTTCTAAAAAGACAGCAGCAATCCCCACCCTTAACAACTGGTGTGTACCTCTCCATTTAATTTTGGCTGACCTAAATGAGTAAAATAACTGGCTAACTTCTTGCTTTCACTAACAGGTCCTCTGTGGTAAGTTTGGCCGTGTAAGTTTTCTCTTCTGTATGAATTCCATAGCCCTAACCTTTGCCCATTTTTTTTTTTTAACAATGCATAGGATCTACTAAGTTTTATTTTTATTTTTTTTAAATAAAATCTCTAAACCTTTAAATGAATCTGTATTCCTTTTTTGAATTTTGTCTCAAGAATGCAACTGAAATTTTTGATTAATAAATAAAAATTATATTTAGCATGTACATGTTTTGAAATATGCTAACGTGGAATGGCTAAACTAATTAGCATGCATTACCTCATATACTCATTTTTTTGTGGTGAGAACGTTTAAAATCAGTGGTTTTTAAGAACGTAGTACATTGTTGTTAAATATAGTCACCACGTTGCACAACTGCTCTCTGAACGCACTCCTACCTGAAACGTGTTATCTTTTGACCAACATTTCTCCCAGCTGCACACTGCCAGCTCCGTGGTCACCACTACTCTACTCTCTGGTTCTCCGAGCTCAACTCTTTTAGATTCCACATATAAATGAAAACCATGTGGTATATGTCTTTCTGCACTGGGTTTATGTCACTTAACAATGTCCTCTGGGTTCATCCGGGTTGTTACAAATCGAAGATTTCATTCTTTCTAGTGACTGAAGAATGTCCTCTGTGTTTCTCTTTCCACTCACCTGCTGTAGGCTGATGAACAATGATACTGCAATAAACACGGGAATGCAAATCTCTCTTCAACATATGGGTTTCATTTCTTTTGGCTACACTTAGTACTGGGATTTCTGGGTCACATGATAGTTCTGTTTTTAATTTTGTTAGAAACCTCCACATTATTGTCGATAACAACTATACTAATTTACATTTCTACCAACTTACTTTTCCTCTACATTCCCACCAACACTTACCTTTTTCATAGTTATCATCTTGTTAACAGCCATTCTAACAGATGTGAGGTAGTACCTCAGCTGTGGTTTCAGTTTGTACTCCTGTGATAATTAGGGAAGATGAGCATTTTTCTGTATGCTGGTTCTTCACTGTATGCCTTTGTTAAATTAAACTTTTGAAACTAAGGGGCCTCTGAAATAGAAGGCTTACTGAGCCATACAAGTGCTAGACAGAAGTGAAAGGATTGGTCCTTGAAGAAATTCCCTAAGCTGCCAACAACTTGGCCAGAGGGCAACTGGAACTATGTCCGCTGGACCTAAGGGGCTAGGGTGTTTTATAATGAAATTGTGGGGAGAAGAAAACTGTTTACACTGACCCTACATTCGTTATAGACAACAAAGGCCGAGCAACATGAACTGACAAAGTCCTGGGACAGGAGGTAAAATCCATAAAGAGAAGGTTTTGCTACTTCTTAGTTGATTGATTGATTCCAAAACCACAATGTGGTGACCTTGATGGGTAACCTTCAGCATATAGGAAAGGAGTGTGGAGCAGTCTTTTTCTTTGTTGATTTTGCTTTAAACTGTGAACTAAAATGACCTTCTCTTATCTCCCTCCATTCTCTGGCCTGTAACTTAATTCAGGACTCTCAGAATTCTTCTCTGATCACCTTCTTTTGAGAAATGTCTACTTATTAGTTTCTCTGCCCAGTTTTTAATCAGGCTGTTTTCTTTCAACTGAATTCTTTTCATATTCTGGGTATTAACCCTTTATCAGATATATGGCTTGTTAATATTTTCCTCTCATTACATAGGCTGTCATTTTATTATCCATTGCTCATTGTTTTCCCTATTTGGCTATCCTTTTGTTACTAACAAGGCTTTTTCAACATAAGCAGTTGTAACAATTTACCTGTTTCACAAAATGTAAACTTTCTTTCTAAGTCTACCATTGTTTGTTCATGGTAGCTATGTTCTTCTTAATTTAGAGCTAGAGTAACAGTCTTTTGGATCTTTACTTCATGCTTCATCTCACGAAGATAAGAGAGGACAGTAAAATTTTGGAGAAGAATAATAGCACAAAGGTCCAGCTATATACAGTGTTTGGAAAATGCGACTAACATTTTTAGCACTTCTTTTAAGAAGTCCACATGATGGCCTACCTGCATTACTGAAGTGTCTCTTGTTGGGATGACTGTAGTTATCTCTTGGGTGTCCATGCATCTGTGGGCCATGGGAGGCAGGCAAATGAGGCTTCTGAGGGTGAAGGTTGTGTGAGGTATGGGATTGAGACATCAGAGAATCCCGGCTTGAACCTGAGGCCTCTGGTCGAAACGGTTTCTTACCACCAATCATGTCATCTTTCTTCTTTTGCTCCTGTAGAATAAAAGCAAACCAAAACAGCTCAGGATTCCATACTTAATTCCTGAGAGCAGAATAAAGATCATCTCCTTTAAAAATTTCCCTCTTGTCCTCAACTTTTGAGCTGCCATTTAATAACTTCTTATCAAAAAATACACAAGAATTCTACGGAGTTTCCACAGCATCAACAGCCTAATTTGGCTGAATTGGGCCTACTAGGTCACTGCAAAAAAAACCCAAAACACTCCACTGATAAGTACCTGTAAGGACACATGCTAGGACTAAGAGACGTCCCTGTATAAGGCCAGAAACAAGTGACCAGGGCAGTCAGCACTCTCTGAAGACCACCCTAGATCAACTCTCCAAAGCTAACTACAACAAATAACCCCAGAGTGTCCAGTTGGAATAGTCCGTACACAAAGTCATTCAGCTAAACATCTAAATGCTGGAGTAACATTGCTCCTCTATGACACAAGTAAAATGTTCAACATAAAACCATCAAAAAAGGAAAGAAAAAGAAAGAACTATAAAGTGACCTAAACTCTAACCCTGAAGGGAAGTGACTGTTAATAATTTGTTCCATGTCTAGCTAAGCTTTGGAAGCATATTACACATAGAACATGAAAACAAGCATTTGGTAATCCTTCTTCTCGTGTACAATACTGATTTCTACAGTACCATATTTAATGGCTGAGTAGTACTCACCAATAGATATATCATGATCTAGTTAACCCATCTCTTGTTGACTTCTAAGGCATCCCATTATAAACATGTTTAAAACCTTAATTAGCCCTTAAACTAAATTCTCAGAAGCAGAATGATATGTTGTAGTCTTCTGACAAATTTTGCTGAACTATATTCTCCAGAGAGTGTGTAACAATGTATACCCCCCACCTTGAAGGTATCTTTTTGTTACTCAAATTAACTTCTAATAATTTAATTAATTAAGCCCTGTACTGTGATATGTGCGGCATCAGACCCTTGCCCTAACTTTCACCCGTGCCTCACTAAGGGGCCTTTCCCAACTACTTTATTCCCACCTGGAAGCTTTCCCGGCTGATCTTTCACAAACTTTTATAATGCTTAAAGTTTGCACTAACACACAGCAATATTAACGTATTATTCCTATATGAGTGCAGTATCGTATTCTTTGGTGTCAAATTAATTTATAAGCCACTTGAGAGTAACACTTCACACCTAGGCAGACTAGGTTCATACAATAAATACTTCTTGAGTGCCTGCTGTGGACCTGGCCCCATTCCAGGCACTGAGGACCTGGCAATGGATGAGATATGTAAACTCTCTGCCTTCGTGGGGACAGCGCGTCAGTGGAAGTGGCAGAACATGTTCACAGACTGTCCCTAAATGGCTCATGTGGGCAATATGCAAATGGCAAGTCAGCAGACCTGCAAATGAATTGCCTGCCTGAACCACAAGACTGACCTTTGTAGCAGGAGCCAAGTCACCTTTGTGCCCATCAACCTGCTCCAAGACAAGGGGTGCCAGTTTCAGGGCACCTCTGCATGTCTGCTCCTTTAAGTGAGCAACTGGGGCCCTTTGACATACAAAAGCTAGAAGGACATCACGTACGTGGCTCAGAAAAGAACAGGAAAAGAGATTTTCTGCCCATAATCCTACTACCTCAGAGGAGCCACACTTACAAGCTACCCTCAGACATGTGCACACTGAAGAAGAAATGGCCTAATCAGTAAAGAAGCCAGGGCGTAAGAACACAGGGTATGGAACCATTGTCAGAATTTTAAACACTGTTTGACTCCAACACATTGGCTATTCTGCCCAATGAACAGTGGTCTTGCCATCTAAATACTGGTGCAGGTTACACGGTGAAAGACACACTCATGAGATACAGGCTCAGGCCCCTCGCGACCCGTGGGAGTTCTCTTGTCAGTCTGCTTAGACCCGTGTCTCCGGCTGCACAGCAAGAGCAAAGACCAGCCTCCTTTCTAGCACTGCCAACCGTCACATGATTCTATGACCAATTTCCCAGGGAAAAACAATTAAGGAATTTTTCTGAGGAATTTTGGTTTTAGTTTGTATGAATTAGGATTAAATTTGTATTTTACCTCCTCTTCTTGAGACCTTTTCTTATGCGCCATTTTGTATAACTTATGCAGTTTTCGTGCATCAAATTCTGTAAACTTGGAAACAAAAATCCACAGGTTCCTAAAAAAAGATGAACAGTACTGGTAAACTACAAAATTTACAAAATAACTTTTTCTTCTCTTTATGGATGGCAAGCTGTTCAATTTTGCTGTGGAAAACTCTTCAAGTAATAAGTGCTAGAAGTGGTCTTTCATGTCTTTGCATCAATAATACATCTTTACTGCCTCTGTGAGCAGAATGACCGAGGGGTCGTGAGACCAGAGTTCTGCTGACATTTAAAACTCCTAAGCTATATCATGTTGCTGCCCTGCTTTCCTCCCACTGAGGCCTGTCATTTCCTCCTTAAAACTCTCGCTGGGCCAGGGCCAGTGGCTCACACCTTTAATCCTAGCTACTCAGGAGGCAGAGATCAGGAGGATCTAGGTTTGAAGCCAGCCCGGGCAAACAGTTCATGAGACCCTATCAAAAAAAAAAACCCATCACGAGAAAGGGCGGGTGCAGTGGCTCAAGGGGTAGGTCCTGAGTTCAAGCCTCAGTACTGCAAAAAAAGAAACTCTCAGTGGCGATTCCGTGACACCCTTAGGAGGCCACTGTTGCCTAGCAGGGGAGTGACGTGATAAAACATGTTTAGAAAGAGAGGCCTGGCCAGTCATAGCAAGCCAGAGAAAGAACCTCATTCCCATCCCAAGCTTTCTAATACGCAGTTTGGCCTTGGCGAACCATGCGCAGAACACCTATACAAGTTCCTAACTAGTACACCTACTGTGTCAGGTGGAAAGTCATTTACCCTACCTTCTACGGCCTCCTAAAAAGAGCTCCAGTCTGCTTGACAAATTGCCTCTAAACCTTCAACACCCTCCAGTTCTCTCACTGTTTCACTTCCAAGCCTTTGCTGAAGCTTGAGAACTCTGTTCATCTAAGTAATTCCAATGCAGTCAGGTTTTTTTTCCTTCAGACAGAACCTCACTACATGCTCCAAGCTGGCCTCAGACTCGTAATCATGTGGCTCAGTCTCCCTAGTGCTGAAATTACAGGTGTGCCACCATGCCTGGCTATTCATCTGTGCGATTCCACTCAGCTGAGGATCTCATCCCTTGACTGCCCCTCTTTCACATACTTCCTCTCTGTACTTGGTCTTACATTTGCCATGTTCTGATAGGCAGCTGCCTTGGAGTCTTAGTTGTACTATTTTTGAACTCTTATTAAGGAGCATGAACTTTCCAATGAACTCAAGATCACAGTGCCTGGGGTATTTAACCACAGACACGCTAAGAGCACAGCAGGAAGCCTAGCTTCATGGGTCTATCCCCAATGATGACCTTCCACTATCTTCTAATCAGGTTAAAAAAAAAAAAAAGCCAGGGAGAAGCTGCTAATAGTGTTAAGGGAAAAGAAATAACATTTGAAAAACTAAATACTGACCAGGCATGGTGGCTTACACCTGTAATCTCACCTATTTGGGAGGCAGAGATCAGGAGGACTGGCGGTTTGAAGGCAGCCTAGGCAAAAAGTTAGCAAGAACCTCCCACCTGCAACCCGTCAAGACTGGTGGCCTGGCTCAAGTGGCAGAACACCTGACTAGCAAGTGCAAGGCCCTGAGTTCAAACTCAAGTACCAGCCAATCAATCAATCAATCAATCAATAAATAAATAAAATAAAAGCAAGACTCGCCCTCTCGAGAAATGAGCTGGGCATGGGGAGCTACAGGGGAGGCCACAGGTGGAGGACTGTGGCCTTCAGGCCAGACCAGGGCAAAACTGTTAAGACCCCACCTGAAAAACAGCTAAAGCAAAAACAGGCTGACATCATCAGCAACACCACCACCAACAGGTGTTGGCGAGGATGCGGGGAAAAAGGAACCCTCTTACACTGTTGGTGGGAATGTAAACTAGTACAACCACTCTGGAAAAATATTTGGAGGCTACTTAAAAAGCTAGACATTGATCTAACCATTTGATCCAGCATACCACTCTTGGGTATACACAAAAGACTGTGACACAGGTTATCCAGAGGCACCTGCACACCCATGTTTATTGCGGCACTAATTCACAATAGCCAAGTTATGGAAACAGCAGATGCCACCATTGACGAATGGATTAAGAAAATGTGGTATCTATACACAATGGAATTTTTATGCAGCCATGAAGAAGAACGAAATGTTATCATCTCGCTGGTAAATGGATGGAATTGGAGAACATCATTCTGAGTGAGGTTAGCCTGGCCCAAAAGACCAAAAATCGTATGTTGTCCCTTATATGTGGACATTAGATCAAGGGCAAACACAACAACGGGATTGGACTATGAGCATATGATAGAAGCGAGAGCACACAAGGGAGGGGTGAGGATAGGTAAGACACCTAAAAAATTAGCTAGCATTTGTTGCCCTTAACGCAGAGAAACTAAAGCAGATACCTTAAAAGCAACTGAGGCCAATAGGAAAAGGGGAACAGGAACTAGAGAAAAGGTTAGATCAAGAAGAATTAACCTAGAAGGTAACACCCACGCACAGGAAATCAATGTGAGTCAATGCCCTGTATAGCTATCCTTATCTCAACCAGCAATGACCCTTGTTCCTTCCTATTATTGCTTATACTCTCTCTACAACAAAATTAGAAATAAGGGCAAAATAGTATCTGCTGGGTATTGAGGGGGTGGGGGGAGAGAGAGAGGGCGGAGTGGGTGGTAAAGGAGGGGGTGGGGGCAGGGGGGAGAAATGACCCAAACCTTGTATGCACATATGAATAAGAAAAGAAAAGAAAAAAAAAAAAGGATGAGGCCTTGAGATCATACCTCAGTGCTGCCCCCCAAAAAATAGATAGATAGACAGACAGATAGGAGTGGAATTGGGGAAAGAGAGAAAATGAAATGAGACAAAACTGTGAAAATAAAAGTAAAAAAAAAAAAAAAACGGGCTGAAAGAGTGGCTCAAGCATCTGCTTAGCAGCATGAAGCCCTGAGTTCAAACCCCAATACTGCTTTAAAAAAAAAAAAGCCTAAATCTTTTATTTATGGGTGTGAAGCATGCTAGCATGCTATGAATAGCATCATGACAAAGGTCTTCTTAAATACATTTTTTCACTAAAAACAAACCACTGTGTCTGGAGGTATGACTTAAGTGTCTGCCTCAAAAAGTTCAGAGCTTTGAGTTCAAATCTCAGTACCGCCAAACAACAACAAAAACTCAACCCAGTGAAACTGGATTACAAAGACAATTACATTAACCACGAGAGCCAGGCATGGTGGTACGTATCTGCAATCCCAAGACTCAGGACGTGAGCCAGAAGGATCGCGAGTTCCAGAAACAAAGGGGCTATAGGTATGGCTCAAGAAGTAGAGCCAAACAACACAAAACTGCAGGTACATTAAAACTTCTTACAAGAAAGTTACTTCCAGGCTATTTATATAAGGTATATATGAAATATAAATTGCAAGGTGTATCATTATGTATGTATACAAATATTCCAAAATCTGAAACACTTCTGGTGTCAATCATATGACAAAGGAAAACTCAACCTGTTTATAAATGAACGTAAATAACCCATGATGCCTTTATAAACCAAAGTCCTAGGTTAACTGCATTACTGTATTAATCCGAATTACTACTGGAGCTTTTTTTTTGGTGGAACTGAAGTTTGAACTTAGGACTATGTGCATGAGCCACACCCACCGGTTATTTTGCAGATGGGGGGGGGAGTCTCAAAAACTATCTTCCCAGTGGGCCTCAAACTACATCCTCCTGATTTCAATCTCCCAAGAAGCTAGGATTACAGGCATAAGCCACCAGTGCCTGGTTGAGTTCTTTAATTATTAAAGGAAATAAGAATGGAGAATTAACAGTTCTTACAGTTTTTAAACCTTTGTTTCACTTCATGGGTTGGTATTACAGGTTTCAAGAGTCTTTATTTTGAGAAAAGGCTAGCAAGTCTATAATCCAGTGGCTTTCTCTTACAAATTATATTAGTAATATCATCTTATTCCTTCCTCAAAGGCTGATCTGAGTGGAACAGCTGATTTCTGAAAAGGAGGGTGAAGCCTACAAGTGTGTTGCCAATAGGATTTTCCTGGGAGAAAGATTAGGTGGCTGTATCATCTCTTATTAAACAAAGCAGAACCTAATCACACACTCTGCTAAATCAAACTGAGCAGTTTTCAGGCCAAGGTTGGTTACCTCCTCCACAGTTTGATGTGCTCCTGGTCTGAGTAGGCTTTAAGGCACTCAGCTATCCGGTCTCCGATTTTGAGCAGGCAGTTTCGAGTGTGCTCCAGCTGTTCTTGCACATTGAGTCCCTTGTCAGGTTTGTCCAGCTGTTTCAGTGCCTTTTTCACGGGTCTCATCCTTTCCTTACACTGGAATAAGGCCAACAGAGTAGAGACATAAGCCTTCTGCAGAAAGGATGCCTTCTTTGCTTACCATACTCCAACTTCCAACATCAGAGAAGACACAGCCTATCTGAAGCCACACAGTCACTACAGAGGGAGCGAGTAATGGCAGTGGAACAGAGCAAGTGTAAATATTAGGCAGAAAAGCCTGAGATGCAAGCCACACCACTGCCTGGAGTTGCATGATGGCCCTTATGACTTACTTAGCTTCTCCAAGCACTGTATCTCTTCTTCAAGAAGCTATCGTACTATCTCAAGGCCATTATGAGGGTAAAATGGGAAGCAACATCACAGCCCTATCTGAAGACATCCCGTGGCTATCAGAAATGCAGAGTAAAAGACAGTAGTGGACAAATTTCCACATAAAGATGATAAACTGAACACAAGAATCATTCTCTCCCTTCTCAATACCACCAAAACAATCTAAGTAAAGACACTGTCTTAAAAAGGTACAAGGCCATTAAAAAAGAGAAAATGAGAAAGCAACAGCAATAAAATACTGGCAGTATGGGAAATGACTTACTAGGCTTGAGAAAATGAACTTTTTAAGCTGGCAGTGCTATCCACAGAGAACTCACCTAATCCATGCTGCAAAACTCCCCCCAAGGCCAGGTGTCTGTGCAAGTAGGGCTGAAGGCTAAAATGATGAGAAGTAAGATACCCCAGATTCATGGCTGGCACTGCCTAGCCTCTGACACCCAGCAACAGATATAAAGGCTTGTTTGCCAAAGAGGACAAAAGAAAAGCCTCTGAGTTGGCTCCCCAGGCAGAGTTGAAAGGCAACATCACAGTGAAAACAGGCCACTGCCCAGTATTCTGATTCTAGAATGAAGAAAGCCAGGCCCTTACCCTCCAGTCAGGAGATCAGGGGATTCTTCAAAACCTAACCACCCTAGAGGAAGAATCAAAAAATGCTGACTTTGACTCACTGGAAGATTCCCAGTAGAGCACTCTGGCCTACAGTGAAAGCTCTCTAAGCCCCATCCATATGCTCAGAACTTCCATTAAGACAGACAGTCCCCCACTCATAGGAGACAACTTATCATACCAACACCATGAGCAATAGAAAACAGAAGTGTAAAATCACTCATAGAACCACAGGGGGAAATATATCTCGGTTATGAAACATGACAAGAGAAATGAAAAACTCAAAATAAGGAGATAAGAGATGATGCTTTTTTGGTTGGCATTTATTTATTTATTTATTGTGTTTGTGTGTGTGTGTGTGTGTGTGTTGTGTGTGGTACTGGGGTTTGAACTGAGAGTCTCTACCACTTGAACCACCACACATCCAGCTAAGGGAAGAAAAGGAATCTTCCAGAAAGTAATAAGGCAAATATTGAAGACCAAAAAAAAAAAGACAAAATCAGGGACCAATATTCAGAATCCAATATCCAAAAACGAGACTTCTCTAACACAAAAGAGAGCATTTAGAGAAGATAAAATTATCACAAAATGATTCAAAAAAAACTTTATAGACTTGTAGGATTCAATTGTCAGCCACGAACTATCTAGCATAATGACCTAAGGTACATGATCAGGAAATTTCACAATAATGAAAGCCCTACAAACTTCCATCGCCTTGGGGTGATTCCCATTTGCAATGTACGCATCTTCAGCGTTAAATTCCAGTTACAAAGGCATCAAAATAAGCAGACACACTCTGGACTCGCAAATGACTGCACTAGTCAAGAATATAAAAGATTCCTACAGAGAAGATAAGTACCCGAGACAGGCAAAGGATACGAGTAGACAATAGAAAGATGAATGCCGAGTAAATATGAAACTAAATGTCCAGTTACTCCACCGGTCAGTACTCCATAACTGTTAGAATGGCAAAGCTTATGAGTTAGGAAATGAACTGTTTTGAGAATGGGAAGCAAATGAGACTCAAATTCATTGGTGGGAGTGGAAATCTGTACAAGTGTTTTGAAGAGTCATGTCTCTATTAAAAAGCAGAGGATGTGCAAGCCCAATGAATGGTCTGGCATCACGGCTCTGGGCTTACATCCCAGAGAAGCTCTCACCTGTGAGCACAGGACAATACTCGCAACAGTTCCACAAGAACCTATTTATATTATGAACATTTGGAAATCCCCCCACTGCCCATCAACAAGAGAAAAAAATGAATTATAGAT